GCTGTGATAAGAAATATCAGCTTTCATGATTACATGTGATACTGATTACGGCTCAGACAATCTGATCTCAATCCAAGACGGGTTTCCTAGTCCTCGCCGGCTACAAACTCTACGATACCAAACCCATACGGCCGGCCCCCTTTTCCAACCGGAATAAACAACAAACTTATACTCCAAATATTTAGCTTCCTCCTTCCATCCACCTAGGTAGAGCTCGCCTGGGGGCAGCGACCCACGTCCACAGCAACTCGCCGCACGTCAAACAACTAGTGAGGGAGAACGAACCGATCGGCGACCTCCCTCCTTTCCCTTTTCTTTAAAGACCGCCTCGTCGCCTACCGGATCACAATCGCTACCTGCCCTCGGTGAACGATTCCACCTCCTCGTGGAATCACAGTCAAGTCTTCCCACTGCGTGAGTCGACTAGACTGATCAATTGCGAGAGGAGGGTTGATACAACACATACCACACACACAAACGCAAACACACACACGACTAGACATGAAATTCCGCTTGTACGCTCGTACGATTGTACGGCGTACTTTTGCACGCTTGTGAGTATGCTTAAGATAGCGTACGATTGTACGCTATCTTAAGTATGGGGGAACGCGTACAAGATAAACGCGGGTTAAAGTGCGACAAATAGGGAGTCTGTTGATGGAAGAGTGTAGACAGTGCTGCCTATGATCTTTGCTGCGTTGTTCATCTCCAACCCGAGACAACAGACTAACTTGTCGGCAAAACGAGACCGGTGAAGTAGTTTCAGTGGCGGCGCCAGCCATTTTTTTTGGGAAGCTTGAATTTTTCTTGGATAGAGCTTCCCCCGAACAAGGAAGTCAGCGCGCTCGGAGACACAAAGATTTACTTTATAGGGCAAGTACTAGTGTTGCATAGATCAGTGGTTCTCAATTTCTATTTTTCGTGGAACCCCGACAGCACCCCAAATGACCCGCGGAACACTCCACGGAGCCCCCCACGGAGCCATACGCTGGAATAGGGACTCCCGCGTGAGAAATTCAATCACTTCAATCACGATCAGCTCCGACGCTCCAAGATTTTATTAAGGATGATCGGGTTTGTGCCCTCGATGGAAAGTTTCTACCATACAGTGGATGTGATCAATGAGACGGATGATTGCGGCTCCCGGATAAGATCTCAGCGAAATTTGGAGTCCTGTTGGAAAGCTGTAGCCTCATATCGGGCTCAGCGTCTAGTCGGTTCTTATTCGGTTAGGCACCGGCATCCCGAAAGCCGCCATCCTGACTAAGGCGATCCGGACCCCCAGGATCTCGAATGCCGCGATCCGGATTCCCGCAATCCCGAATGCCGCGATCCGGATTCCCGCAATCCCGAATGCCACGATCCTGATGGCCGCAATCCCGAATGCCGCGATTCCGGATCCCGCTGTCCCGAATGCCGCGATCCCGAATTCCGCAATCCCGAGAACCGCAACCCCGAATTCCGCAATCCCGACTTCCGCGATCCCGAATATCGTGACCCCGGTCGCTGGGGTCTCGACTGGATTCCGAAAGCCGCGATCCCGCCTGCCACCACGCCGACCGCCGCGCCGTCGTCGCGGATGCTGCGATCAGACGCGCTCATCCCCCCACTCTATAAAACGCGACAAATCACCCGATGAAGCCTTAAATATCTCACGAATCGCTTAAAATTTACACGGCAACATTGTCTATGTGTCCCAACTCCAAAACGCGTGTCCACATTCCGACACCTTCCCCCCATGCAAAGAAAAATCCGCAAAACTCGGGCCTACTTCAGTGAAGCGGTCATGAAATCACTGCGCCTGTGCGACACGCATGGAATTACTGCGCGCGCGGCTTATGGTTGAGCGCGCCGTGTACGGCACTATGGCGCGAAGCGCCCTCACGTCTGGTACTAGATATTTCTTTCCAGAGGGGGGAGGCATGCCTTCTCTCCTCATAGACGCTACTGACTGCAATCCGATTAAGGCAAATGAAGAAAGGATCGTAGTCGGATAATGGTTCCTCCATCTTATTAATTTCTACGGGGGTAGCGAGAGGGTTTCAAAAAGAAAGATTGAACCCGACGCTATGAATATACTGAATCAACGAAACCTGATTGGTCTCGAAGTGCTCTACAAAAACTCGGAGTTTTCGGTTTAGCTCTTCGAACTTCTTGCTTTTACGGGGCGGCTTTCCTCCCATACGCAATTGGAGCATGTCTTCTTCGAACTTCTGCTGTTGTCTCTGAAGGAGGCTGATGATTTCGTAAATATTTCCGTGCTTTTTCCCGAGCGCGGTATTGATGGCTTGGTGCCAACCCTCAACGTGGTTGGTTGTACGGGACTCGAATTTCCCGTAGTGATTCCACAGGGTGCGGGGAAACACCGAGGGGTTCTCTAACCACGTGTGAATGAAGTACTCCTTAAAGTTTTCCAGGCTGGAATACGCGGGGTGGTCTGTGCTCGGGGCCTCTGCGTTGATCTCCAACCAAGCCTCATCCATCAAGCTCAATGGCACCAAGGCGAGAGCACCAATGGATCGCACAAAGCATTTCACTCCGGGTTCTCTGTACTGCCGGCTCAAACCGAGTTCTTGAATCTTCCTCCATAAACACTGTTGGAAATGGAAGTTGCACCCCTTCAGATCCGCTGTGGAAAACTCTCGTCGAATCGCCTTGAGTGTCGCTACCTCGAAATCGAGTTGAAAGACTCTTGGGTTGAATGACAAACCCAAGGAAGCAGCCAGAGCCTTGAGAAGGCAGAACATGCGGCGGTATGTTGCTTCCTGTTTGTTCGGGAGCAAGAAATACACGAACGGGATCATTTGACCCATGAAGAATGCATGGATGGTATAGAGTTGTAGGAAAAGCCGGGGTACAATGCGAAATGTACCGTCCATGAAAACTGTCCCTGCTCCACATAAGATCGTCATCATTTCCCGCGTCGTGAACCCTAGAATTCGGTCCGTAGTTCCATCGTTGATCATGAGAAAAGGTCGACCGTCAGCCGTCTGTATCCAAGCATCTTGCGGGACGACATCCGCAAGCGAACTTGGCTGAGGAGGCCGCACTCTAGAGCGCGCACGATTCAGAATGGTTGCCACGGAGTCGAAGGTAGGTAATGCAGCCCCGATTTGATCGTCGGAATAAGTACGTCGCAGGTCCCTCAGGGAGGAAGCTCGGACTTCACGATATACCTGCCGGACGCTCTTGTGGGGTTCTACCGTGACACGCTCTCTCATCTTATGCTTCACCGACCTCTTGATGAGCTCTTCATCTTCAGGTTCATGGATATGAGCTCCCGTTTGCCTTCCAACAACGACCCCAGACTCAGTCGAAATCTGATGAATCAGTAGCAGAAATTGTAGGTGGGATCTAGTTTGAGGTTCGAGATATGGATGACGCGGGGAAAGAATAATTGAACGGAATACTCAAGGAAGAAATAGTCGAATACCATGCTGAGGATTGCTCTGGCCGGACAGCCTTCTACCTTCTTCTTTATGCACCGGCAGTAGAGTTTTCCGTTCCTTTTCTTTTCCACCTCGTAGAGATATTCACTGATACAATAGAGGATTTTCCCTCTCTTCGAATCAATCTCTCTCACATCCATGACGGATTCCGAGACGAGCTTCCGCAGTCGACAGATTTCAAGGAGAGTTTGGGGTCTGATCGGCAAGACAGCCGAAGGAAAAATCAGCGACACGTTTCAATACCTCGTCCACTCTTGAGGATGAATAGAAAACAGCGACGCGGGAGAGATGCAGCGCCACCTGGCGGAGGATGGTCGAGCATACGGCAAGTTCCTAGCATCAGAGTCGCATATGGAAATATCATGGATCATGACCTCTGAGAAATGGAAGTCTCAACTTCCCCATCTGGTTCGGCGAGTGGTTTTTGCCTGGAATGGATCCCTCTGATACGCGAGATGGGGGTCCATGCAACTGAAGCCGCCTCCCGTCGCGCATTGAGATGGGTTGAATATGAGCTCGGAATAGGTTACGGATATGAACATATCTTCGGTGCATCCATCGGGTCACATGAGTATGCGCATCCTTCAGCCGCAAGCAATTGGAGTGAGCCTTCGGAGAGTGGTATGGTATGGTATATTGGTGATCCTCGCCCTCGAGTGGTGAGTTTTCGGGACAGTGGGCTGTAACCGTCAAAAGCCACATCGCCGGGCGACCTTAGTCCAGGGGCGAGTATTCTCTAGCGGATCCTTCGGGCCTCGTACTCCCATTCTTCGAGCGTGCTCTTCGTTTCCCCACATGTCCGATCGTGACACTCCCCCTCCAAGCCCAGTCTTCTGGGGAGCTCATTCGTCTCTGAGTGGTATGGTTCGCATTCCATGATGATGAAGCGGATGCAGGGGAAATTGAGAGCAGAACTACTGAATTTCCAGGCGCTGAGGCGATGATTTGCTTGAGAAAATGAAGAAGCGACTTTTCGCCTGAACGACAACTTCACAACTAGGTTTATTATTGCGCGACGTCACCGCCCTCGACCAGCGGCGGCACAATTGAAATTCGGAGATCGTTGCAGTATCACAATAGAATTACGGGGGAATGATTACGCGAGTCAGGTTTTTCAACAGATGATTTGAGGAATGGTTTCTACCCCCCATAGCCCATTTTCAGGCTACCACCTGAGTTCGGACACAGACAATTCGATGCCGACAACTCGATGCCGAGACCTCGATGTCGGACGAGTGGATGCCGGCAAGCTCGATGCCTGGACAGCTCAATGCCGGGACACTTCGATGCCTGACAGCTCGATGCCGGGCGAGCTCGATGCCAAAAGTATCTAGAATTAGGCGAATATTCGGCGGCCGCTCAAGGAAAAACTCAGATTCTTATCAGAAAAACTCCTTCTGAGAATTATTCATGTCAAGTTACAAACTTCGATTCGTCACATGTACTTCAGATGTCATTAAGCTTCCATTCTAAAATTCGTCGCGATTCCCTTCAAGAAATCCACGGCTGTATTGTTACCGTGACGAGCTTGGGGAGTTTTCGGTCAACAACGGCGTATTTTCTACGCTTCTCGGTCGGTGGGCTGCCTCGGAGCTCGGAGGCAACGGGCTAGTAGCATGTCCATTGGATCCGTGTGATTTCGAATCTGTTGAATGCCCATATGCTTTGAGCGTGTAAGCTCTGGAGTGCCTTACATGCCTCCCTCTTCCAGATTTGTTCTTGGCGGAGGAGATAATTAGGTTCATTGCAGAAAGTAATCCCAAGGTATTTGTATTCGTCTTCGAATTCTATGTGCTTCCCTCGTATTTCCATTTCTCTAGGTTCTCCAAGTCTGGTGTGGTTAAAAATTACCATCGCACTCTTCGCGGATTTGAGCTGGAGATTTTTCTCATTTCCCAGCTCAGTGGTCACAGATAGCATTATACTCATTTCTTCGTATGATTGTGCCATTGACACTGGATCATCAGCGTATAGCAGGCCTGGGATCCCGTCTTCAGTGACGCCGCCATCATACGTGGTTGTCACCTCGAATCCGCATTTTGTCCACCCCGATCTCGTCTCCAGCTCTGATATGTACAGGGCGAATAGGATCGGGGACAGAGGGCATCCTTGTCGGAGGCCAACCTCTGTCCGTATTCTGAACGAGCACTGCTCGTTTACTTCCAGTACTCGTTTACTCCCGATATCTTCTAGGGTCACCCATAGAGATTCCCTGGATATCCTATCGTAGGCTTTTGAACAATCGAGGAAACATGTAATTAGTCCTCTCTTTTGTTTTCGGGAGAGCTCAATCGCCGACGTTAGGACGAATAAGTTGTCCTCTCCCCGTCGCTCCCAAGCCATTCTGCATTTCCCCCAAGAAGAAGAGTATTGAGACCCAAAGTCTCGTTTCGGCAGCGCCCGGGACGCGAATTTCACCACCGACACGGTGGCTCAGTGGCGAGCGCTGCCGATCACCAGACTTCGCGCACCATGTCTAACGGGTTGCGTGGGTTCGAAACCAAATGTCGGCGATCCGAACATGGCCGATTTCGCGAACATATCTACAGAGGGTATCTATACAGAGAGATCTCTATACAGAGGGTATCTAATGTGACATGACTCCGCGCCCATGAGAATGCCGCATGCCCCATCGGCACGCTGCGATGGCGCGAAAAATCCCCCGGTCTCCGTGAAGCCTTCCGGGACAAATCAGATGTCGTGGAATCACTATATTCATAGCGTCGGGTTCAAGCCTTCTTTTTCTTTAAACCCTATCGCTTTTCCCGTAAAAATAAATAATCTGAGAAAACAAGCCGTGTATTCCCCCGTCTCGATTGCCAGCAGCGATGGTTGGGATCTCAACAGTGACGATGGCGGCCGTCGGGATCACGGCATTCGGGATCGCGGCATTCGGGATCGCGGCCATCGGGATCGCGGCATTCGGGATCGCGGCATTCGGGATCGCGGCATTCGGGATCGCGGCATTCGGGATCGCGGCAATCGGGATCGCGGCAGTCCGGATCGCGGCAATCGGGATCGCGGCAGTCCGGATCGCGGCATTCGAGATCGTGGCTTTCGGGATGCTGGTGCCTAACCCTTATTCTTGGTTGCGATGTAAGCCGAAAACCCTCTTTCACAGAGATACGTGCTGACGAAAGGCACGAGTGTTCTCAGCGCTAGGTTCGATAGGAGTGGGAAGTTGTCATTGACAGAAGCCCAGAATTTCGCTGAAGAGGTTGTGAGGAAGAGCTGCTTCAGCTGCGAGTTGTTTGTAACTCGATCAATTCCTCATTCTGGCAGGCACTTAGCCCGCGATCAAGAGAAGCCGAGAAAGGATTTTTAATCCACTTGTGAGCAATCTGATCTTCCATCGACTTTGATGGAAAATATTTCTCAAGACTATCACGCAAGTTCAACAAGTGATCGTGAATATCATGCTTGGTGCTCTCATCCAATGTTTCGTCTGTCTCGCGTAGATAATCCTGGAGTGTCGGCAGGAAGT